AGGATTGTTGGAAAAAAAACCTTTTTCGCATGATCCTGTAAACCTCATTTTTTGAGGAATAAAGGATCTTGTGAAAGACTTTTTTTTCCCCCAACAAATGGCCCCGTCTACACGGGGCTTTTTATTGGCAAAACCTCTTCTGCAAAAAGGATCGGCAGAAGATATGCAAATGAGAGCACAATTTGCATATCTTCTGCCAAAAAAACCCGGAAGCGTAGACATAGTCACAACTTCCTATGTTCCCCTACACTTTTGCCACAGAAAAAATGTCATGGCTTCTGGATGTGAAAGACGATATGGGAATATTTTGAATAAATGTATTCTCTGGGTAGTCAAGGAAAACCTGTCAAGTGTAATCAGTGCAAGAAGAGGATATAGGGCCTAGCAGCAAAAATGAAATATTGTAAGGAGAACTGCTTTTTAGGAAAAAATGATATGGATGAAGATGTGGATATGTCTGAGGAACATTGTGGGTCAACTTTGCAATGTGTCATTCTTCAAGATTCTCTTTATGCTTTTTCATAGAATCATAGAATACTAGGACTGGAGGGGACCTCGAGAGGTCATCAAGTCCAATCCCCTGCCCTCTTGGCAGGACTTTTTAGCATAAGTGTGATTTAATTAAGTAAATACCCAAGCAGTTTGCTATGTTGGATGCTGCTAGAATAAAAGTTTGGCTTAGTTGCTAGAAAAAAAGTTTAGCTTAGCTATTTCTTATGGCTTGTTAACTAGGTTTAGAATCTATCACCCAAGTATACAGTACCAAAAGTTGCAGTAAGAGAAATCTAAAGTTGCCAGTTGCCACTGAATGTCATTTTTTTTTTAAATTACATAATACATGCCCCTTATTTTGGAACATCAGGGTCACAGACCATAAAGCTGATGCCATTAGTCTAGTCCCTATTTTACTTTAGCATAATTCAGCTTTCCCAAAGGAACCCCTATACTTGTTTTCAATGGGTCTGATTTCAAAATTAAATGCACTCTAAACATAGTCAGTCTTAGATCTTTTGGTAACTTGGAATCAAATCTGCATCAAAATGACAGTGGGAGTGCGGAAGGTGAGAGTTAGCTGTAGAAGTTTTAAGGAGACCCTACATTTAGTGTTCTGAGGACTTGCCTGTTAGAGTTAATAAAATATGAACATTTTAAAAAAAGGATTAAGGACAATCAGCAGCTGGATGTTCAAGTAAATAAAACATCTGGGAGCCCACTGAGGGCTAACTCTAAGGAACCGCATCTGTCTTGTGGGCCACTTATTGCTCACCCATGATTTAAATACAAGCCCAGAACTAAACCTTAGATCCAAGTACCCTCAAGCTTTGCGTAAATCCATAACTAGATCCAAATTTTGTGTCTTGGATTCATCTCTAGATTTTACATTTGTTTATTTTGTTTTTCAGGCTGGTCAAATCCATTGTTCTTGTTGCTTTATCTGCCTCTTTAGTCCTATACTGTATTGAGAAAGTCAATCCTACTGTAGTAGTCATTACTAGAGCTATGTGACATTTTTCTGATGAATAATTTGTTCAGTGAAAATTTAGTTTTGGTTGACTCAAAACTATTTGTGGATAGAATAGAAAGATTTCAGCCATTTACAATATGTCTGGAGGAGAAGGAGGTAATGGTACTGTTGCCACCCTTTTAAAACCATTAGCCCAATAGTTAGGTCACTCACATGGCAGATGGGAAATTGAAATTCAATCCCCTGATCTGAAACACACCCACAGTAGATAAGACAGTCATCCGCCATCCTGTCTTAAATGACATTCTACCCCCCCTTCTCCCCTCCCCAGTTTTTTGGAACAGCAAATAAGCTGGAAAAATTAGTTATTTGCCCACCTCTCAATGCTACACATTTAATTCCCAAACTCATTTCCTAGATTTAACTTGTGCATTATGCTAAAGAGAACATCTCACCTGTGGTCTCTAAACAACCAAAATGTTTCTTCAAAATATGTTCCCAACATTCCTTTTAACCAGTTAATATGAGAATAGTGAAGGAAACAAATCATTGTTACTGTATCCTGAGATTTTGACTAATCCTACACATCTCTGATGTAACAGAACTGCTGATATTAGTAAAAGTATTATCTAAGCAAGGAATTTGTCCTAATCCACAGTTAAGAATCGGGTCCTTAATCACTTGATATAATTCATTCCTTATTCTCATTCTGATTTAGCATCTTTTAGCATGCCCCTACCATTAACTTTCCAGCTAATTTAAGTACAGGTAAATAACGCCCCTTTAAATCCAATCTTTAATGCTTACCTTCAATACAGTGATATTCCATGCAAAACTTTCAATGGCTTTGCTTAGCTTTCTTCCTTTCAGACCTTCCTTTGACCCAAGGTTATGAAGTTCTTCATGGAATTCCATGCCTAAAACATGGATAGGTACAAGATTCAGTGTGTGATTCAGTTACATTGTGGCTTAATTTTTATTCAAACTATTCACTAAGAATTCCCAGACCTCTCCATTCTGAATTTCTCCTGCTACTTTCTGAATTTTCATTTTATTTCCTCCTAATCCCTGTCTCTTGCGGACCTGATGCCCAGCTTTCAACTGCAGAGGACTATGTACCAAAAAAAAAGTTTTAAAGACCAGTTGAGAAGAATCCTGTTTATTGTTTAATCTTTTCCACCTTTAGGGCTACATGATTGCTTCTTTATTCTTCTATGTTCTGTCATAATCATTGGTAGAGACTAAGAAAGTTATGAACACAAATTTTTCCAGTGACTCTGCCTTTATTCTGCATTACTGGGAAATTAGAGATGGTGCTACCTCTAGGCCAGTGGTTCCCAAGGATGTTCATATTGTGTGATGGTTCCATAGTGCAAGCAAAAGTTAAGGGACAAAATGAAAACAAAACCACCTTAATATATGAGTCTAGCTGCTTTGTTAAAGCCCCTTAATATATACTTGTGGTGCTAATTTCCTCTTAGGACATTTTACATTAATTAGTATAAAATCACCACACAATGCCTGCAGCTCTTACTCTAGTCAATCAAGTTCAATGTGTAGATGTTTGATTAGAGTTCCTGGCCTGCTTTACACTAGGACCCCAGTCCCCTACAGTCGAAATTCTAAGGGATGTGTCCAGCGTTCCCTCTAATTTTTTCCATCCATGTGTGGAATACTTTTTGTTATGTGTACCAAGGCATGTGCAGATATGCACTGCCAATAGAAACATATACTACTGGCTTTGGGCAGCTGTGGGTGATCTGTTAATCAGCTGAGTGGCACCTTATTCTTTCCTGGATGGCCGCCCAAGTGCTAAGTTTACAGGGAACACTGGATGTGTCCACACTACCAAGCCTGTTGCACCACCCTTGGGTGCCACAAAAGTCAATTCCTGTACTCCTGCTTTTCACCAGGAATAGTGCTATTCCCAACCATGCCTGGTTGAGTTTACGATATTGTAAACACAGCCTTGCCAAAAATGTGATGCTATTGGCCTATGGAAGGCCCCCACAGCTGTCTGCCCTGACTTCTCTGGCCACAATTTACACTTTGATTGCTCTCTCACTTAGCTCATAAAGCTACGGGAACAGCAGAAAGGCCTGTCCCACATGGCACTGCCAGCGAGAAGAACACCATGGCAAACGGCGACATGAGTTCCAATGTGCCTTTGGACACTCCCAACGGCTGCCACTACTTTTGCTTCCACAGCCTCCACTTCCCAGGGGTGCAGAAGAGCATCAGTCTGGAGTGCACAGGAGATCCGGGATCTCATTGACGTGCGGGGAGATGCAGCCTCAGGGCTAACGGATATGCCAGGAATACCCAGCAGTGCAAAGTCAAAATTAGAGAGCACAGGCAGTCTTATCACAAAGCTAAGGAGCAGAGCGAATGCTCTGGAGTGGCACCTCACAACTGCCGATACTATGAGTAGCTGGATGCCATTTGGGGGTGGGAGTGGGGGAGGCTGGAGAGCCCCCCCGCCATGGTTGTGGGAGTCAGAACAAGATACACCTGGCATCAGCCTGCAGGAGAGCAGGGTGGTGGAGGGGCACGGGGAGGAGACTAGTTAGATAACAATGCCCTAAAGCCAGGAGCTAATCATGACTCTGAACTGGACCCATCCTCCCAGGATGTTCCCCAGGCTATCGATGACCCCAGGGAGGGCACTTGTGGGAGTGCACAAACTTTGTCTAACTACAAGTGGGTTCAGGCAATGAGCTATGAGCTGCGGCGCACTCTTTCTTGGGGGGGGGGGGGTGCTGAACAATTTGTTCTTGTGTCTGCAGATGGAATGCAAGTCTTGTCACAATGGGCATCTCTACCTCTCTGATGCTGATGCTCTGGATTGAGGAAAGAGCCGGTGTACATCTTTCAGAAGAGGCGGGAATTCCTAAAGATGTGTGCGTCATGCACCTTTCCCAACCATCCCAGGCTGAAATGGCTCTTGTGATCCCCAGTGTCTGCAGCACCATGGAGAAGTACCTTTTCTAGTAGATGAGTACTCCAAGGCACGGTGCTCAGGGGCCAAGATGGGGATGTGTGTTCTAAATGAGGGGACGTTCTAGACAGGTGTCCACATTGCCCAGTCACCACCCTCCATAGCAGGATGTTGTTGATGGCCTTGGCTATTTGTATGACAGCAGCCCTGACTGTTGATTTCTCCACCCCAACCTGGTTCCCGACTGAGCAGTAGCTGCCTGGCATGGCAAGCTTCCAAAGGGCAATTGCCATGCACCTCTGCATGGTCAGAGCGGATCTCATGTAGGTATCCTGTCCCCTCAGGGCAGGGGCAAGCCATCTACAGAGTTCCAGGAATGCAGCCTTCCATATTTAGAAATTCTGCAGCCACTGCAGCTCATCCCATCCCTGCATCACAATGCAGTCCCACTAGTCTGAGCCAGAACTAGTATTGCACGGTGTCCAGGGGACTGGCTAGTGGCTGAGCTAGCATGAATGACATTGCTTGCCTGAGCAGGAGCTCCATGCCACACCGAGCTTCGACTTCGTCCTCTTCCTGGTGGACAAATGTGTGTAGGTTCTCAAAGTACAGTGCCATGAGGCGAACCACGACACCCATGAGGAGGACGATACATTCCAGCACAGCAGGCCCCATGCTCTGTGTTGTTGCATCATGAGTACACTGTGTTACACAACAGTGTGAGTACACTGTGCCCCTTTATCTCACGTGTGGCGGGAGTGACTAGAGGACTGCCTTATGGGATGCTGCCAGCATGAGCCCCTCTTACCACCCACGGCCGAGTTTTGGACCCAGTGGACACCAGAAGCATCAGCCAGACTGCCACACTACCTACGGTGCCTCCTCGCTTTCTGAGCCAACAGCAGACTCCATAATGTGGACACACTACTTCAGAATACATTCAGTTCATGACCATAGTGAGGACACAGACTTTTGCCTTCTTAACATCGGGTGCCCAGAAATCAACCAGGCAAGATTCAAACTTATCTCATAGTATAGACGTACCCCCGTGTGTTGCCTATATCTCCAATGTTGGTGTTATTCAACAATTTGAGCTCTGCTGAATTTAAATCAAAGAAACATCCATCAAGAAATGCATAACTTTGCGAGAATGCAAAGAGGGATCAATTTATTATTTTTAGCAATGAAAAAAAAACAACCCTTTTGAAATCCTGAGAGTCCTGGAATGGGCTTAAGGTAACAGGAAGTATCATTGACAAAAGACTGAAAAATGTTTCCCCCTGTGACTAAAGTGAGTCTGCAGAGCACTAAGAAGGGTTATAGATGATAGTTTTAGAGACTGGTTCTGGGTGGGCAAGGAGACTGGGAGCCACAAGGAAAAGGAAGGAGTACAAGTTGGAGCTAGGAGATCACATTTGGGAGGAATGGACAGAAAAGTCTGTATCCACTAGAGAATGTTCCCCTCCAGAGCCTGGAGAGGAAGCCACGATCTCACCATTCCTCTGCTGTAGTACATGTCTGTGAAACCCACTGGCAAAGTGTCTCATTCCCTAGTAGGGATGGTCCATATAGAGCATCACAGCTGCTCTCAGTTACTCTGTTAGCTGTCTGAGGTGTTGGTAGTAGATCTAAAAGTTCTATTCCAGGTGTGACCAATGTGTTAACATCATGCCAAATGATGCAATTTCTTGTACACAACAAAAAACCCTCGAATAAAATAACATGATTAAGGTCACAAAGTCAAGCATGCAGAAGTTAGGAAGTGCCTATGCAACCTTAATTTGGTCCTCTTCTGTGCATTATGATAGTCTTTACTTATATTTATCATACAGTATTTTCCCTTCTGACTCATTCCGGGCCCAGGATGGACCTACTCTGAGGATGTATTTGGGATTGTGTAGGAGGAGATTTTTCTATAGCACTTATGCTGCAAGGAGTGAAGAATAAGTTGGGGAGCATGTAGTAAAGAAGCAGGCAATTGCAGGAAGACAAAGGATGATCTCATGGTGAAGGCAGTTAAACGATTCCTCACTAATTGGATTTGATACCTACCTGTGCCACAGAGCTTTATGTCATGCTGGACAAGTCACTGAAACCAAACAAGTCAACAATTGTTGCCCCTAAGAGTGTATTTCTCATTTTCTGGGTGTCTGACTTGAGACCCTGGGGTCTGATTTGCAGAAGTGCTGAGTACTCATAGCTGCTACTGAAATCAATGGGAGCTGTGATTTGAATGTGTATAGTTTATATGTAAACAGGGGCTGAACTACTGCTTGCTATCAGCCAGCTAAAAGGAGAGAGCTGCCCTGGGGGTGGGTATGCTCACTCCAATTGTTTAGCTCTGCAAGATAATTAACTGTTAACCACTGATATGTAAATACAGCTCATGCTGGGATGAGGAAGGAATCTGAGGTGTGGTTATGTAAATCCAATTCAGCCAGGGCTGATGAAGGATCAGTTGTTAGAATGGAATGTGATGTATTGTAACTAATTTGGGGTGTTGTGGGGGGTCACAAATCATGCTGCCCCTAAATGTGGGAACTGAAAATATGACACCAGTGCTTGCAGGAGAGACACCATCATTGTAAGAGGTCTCAGATGAACAAGCCTCCCCCTTCCAGAATTGAGTGGATTCAGTTGAGGAGGGGAGGGGAGTAGGGCTTAAGCCAGCCTACTTCATGCCTGCCAGGTGCAAGCTGTAATACTGGTTCAACCTGCCTCTTTCCCCCTTGTTTTAAGGAGTCTTTTTGCTAGTCCAGGGGGAGCTGGAATCTTTTGCCAGGCTACGTGGTGATTAAAGAGTTGAAATCACTAAAGGCTACATCCACACTGGCACATTCTCACGCAAAAACTCTTTTGCGGAAGAGTCCTTCTGCAAAAACTCTTCCAGAAGAGAGCATCTACACTGGCATGTGCTTTTGCGCAAGAGCATCTATGCCACTGTAGACACTCTCTTGCACAAGAAAGCTCTGTAGGCCATTTTAACCATAAGGGCTTTCTTGCGCAAGAAATTCATGTTGCCTGTCTACACTGGCCTCTTCTGGAAGAGCTCTTGTGCAAAAGGGCTTCTTCCTGAGCGGGAGCATCAGAGTTCTCGCACCAGAAGCCCTGATTTTATACATTAGAACATCACTATGCCACTGTAGACACTCTCTTGCACAAGAAAGCTCTGTAGGCCATTTTAACCATAAGGGCTTTCTTGCGCAAGAAATTCATGTTGCCTGTCTACACTGGCCTCTTCTGGAAGAGCTCTTGTGCAAAAGGGCTTCTTCCTGAGCGGGAGCATCAGAGTTCTCGCACCAGAAGCCCTGATTTTATACATTAGAACATCAGCATATTTGTGCAAGAACACGCGGCCAGTGTAGACAGGCAGCAAGTTTTTGCGCAAGAGTGGCCGGTTTTTCGGGG